CAAAGTTGTCCACTGAAGAAGCTGTGAAGACAAGTATTTTATCATCACGATGGATGGATTTGTGGAAATGGAGACCTCATTTGGTCTTGGATATGAAAAGGATCTTGGATAAAACCCCCATCGGACTTTGGGACAAAGTTTCGGCTCATTTGGCTAGTTCAATGGACAAGGTTCATTAATTTTTCTTTTCTATTCACTTCTCATCTTTTAGATTTCATTTCAATCATTTTTACAAAGATTTGTATATAAAATAATACATAAAACAAGTCGCCCTATAAGCTAATGTTTGGATAGACGATAATACCTTATGGATTTGTAGTAAAAAAATGTTATATGTGAATCAAATCTATGTAGTAATATGCAATAAACTACTATACCCTTTAAACGCATTATTCAGCATTTTGTAAGATTATAGTATTAAATTTGACGGAAAATTATAAAAGAAGATGAATAAAAGTGGTATTTTGTGTCGATAATATAGAAATTTTTGGAAATTAATTTCCAATTTCGTATAAACATTTTGCTATAATTTTCACAATTTAAATATATATATATATTACGATTTTACTCGTATAAGGAATTTTTTTTGTTAAAATCAAAACTAGGGATAAAACTGAAACTGATTAAAACTATATATTTCTTAGGACAAAAAGATCTTAAAACAACAAGTTCTGAAAATATGATCATTGGGTTTGAAAGAGAGTAAAGAGTAGTGAGTTAGAATCTAGAAAAAGTGATGTGTTACATTTACTACCCCCACAGAATAAATACACATACTATGTACAAACTAGACAAAATTCTTTTACATTAATAAATAGGTTTTGACAGACAACATTCTTTAGAATTTTATTGATAGGTTTTGATAGACAATTTTTACATTCTATTCAAGAAACAGAAAAGACAACTTCTATTGCATGCATGCAGATGTTTGTACATATATAGCATATAAAATTTGTGCAGTGTACAATTTAAAAAAAATTCTAATCATTTAATTTTTTTGGTGTGAAGACTTTCAACAAACACAGCGGCAACCTAGAGAGCTGCATTATCACATACCGATGTGATGGCTGTACGCTTCAAAACTGGATCCGACATGCGACTCGTGTGAAACACACTAAAGATCTCACACTAAACTATGTTCATGGTCGTCGTCCGAGACGTTACACTTACAGAGGAACACAAATGCTCGACATGCCCTATGAAATATTTTCGCATCATAGCCTCACTTCACTGTCACTTAGTGGATACACTCTACTAGGTGGACATGCCTTCACTAACTGTGGCAATCTTAAGACCCTCAAGCTTTTAAATATGGTCATCTTCTGGGTTAGTACCCTTACCAGCGTTTTGGCAGCTTGCTCCTCCCTCGAGGTGATTGTGTTGCAACTCGCTTTCTCAAAGGACGATAGTGTTTTGAAGATCGAGAACAAAAAATTGAAGTTCTTGCAAATGTCTTTCCTTCACTATGTTAAGAGGATCGAAGTGAATGCACCCTGTCTAGATGTTCTAGACATCAGAGATGTCAAATGTGAGAACAAGAATAGCTTCATCCTCACTTCTCCCAATATCCAGTTTAACCAAAGCGATTGGATTTCTAGTTTGTTTTATCTTCCTCACATCAGCTATAATGTATCAGAACTCGCTCAGGTATGCACTTTTTCTTCATTTCGAAAATCTATTGTATTACTTAAACTTTGGGGTGGTGTGAAAACCATTATGGGATAAAACAATCAATAAAAACAAATCATAAGCAAATGTGGATATACTTATATAATATAGTTTGACATGTATATATGACAACTCATAGGAGACGAGAAACATTTGGCATGATCTCCTGATGAGTGACTTTCCTGGTACGACAAGGCAGGGAACTTTGTCGGTGAGTATAGACATAACTAATCCTAAAGAAGTGGAGATACTGAAGGAACTTTTGCTTATGTGGAGTACTTACACAATGATAGAGCTTGAGATCTTCTTCAAGGTATATACATTCATGTCATGGTTAAATCTTATTACTTTGGTAATGTTTGATCACTTTCTCTCGCTCATATTTTCATTTTAGACCAACAATGCTCCTAGAGAAGAAGAAGAAGATGGTGAATGCTCTAATGAGAGATTGTGGGAGGATGCAAACCCATTTCCTAACGCTGATTTTCGCGTTAATAACGTGTGGATGTATAACCTCAATAGTTCGAATAAGGAAGAGTTTGCCTTTGCTTCACGTTTTGTGATGCAAAAGACGGTGATTGAAACGCTGATGATCGAGACCTCGTCGTGTTCTGATGGAGTAGCAACTGTGGCTAAGCTGATGGAACTTCCTAAAGGTAACGAAGATCTTAGTGTTGGTTGGTTTCGATGAGAGTTTGGTGCCAGTCTATTCCAGTGCTACTATAAACTATGATACTAGCATTTTTCTTTATTAATGTAAGGATTATATATGGTTTTGAATTTTCGATTGATATTCTGAGAATTTATGTGACAAAAGGATATTGATGTTTGAGATTTACTTTGTCTTAGTATGAATATTATCTTATTTGTTTTGTTGGGCTCTCTCTTTTTTTTGGGTTAATCCTTATTTCAAAAGGGATTATATTTATAAACTTATGATAGAAAAAGGGTTGTCTTAAACATAGTATCTATGCCTATAAATCTTGGGGATTTAGATTAGGTTTTGACTTCACAATTTTTCATAAATAGAAAACCAAAAAAAAAAAAAACAGTTTTTAATCAAAAAAAATTACTGAAAAATATAAACTTTGTTACTAATGTAAATAGGTTTTGTTTATATAATAAAAACAATTAGCATTGAAAACAAGCTGTTTAAAGCAAAAGCTATCTATATATGATGAAACTCTATATAATAAGATGAACAAGGCAACAAAGCCAAGTTGTGTAATCCTCCTCCACTACAAAGCCTAATGACGTTTGTGGTATCCGTGAGAAAATACTACACTGCCACAAGTGAATAAATCATTCTTAAAGCTAGTAGATTTCTCCTTCAAATGTCATTTCCAGGGTCTCTCTGATTTCTACGTATTGTTGTTTTACATGAGGGTGATGATGATGATCAAACTCTATCTTCTTCAGCATTTACTGGGAATCAAAGTCTGGCTTTGAAGGGTATTCAAGTCCCTGCAGCTCTGGCATTCTCCTCAGGTCTTCTTCTGAGTATCCTGGGATGAACCAGTATCTCTTATCCATTCCAAATACCTACAAGGGAGAAAAAGGCAACAACTTAGAAACTTGCAAGCGGTGGTATATTCAGAAGAATATCAAATCAGGTCTTGAGCTTAACTAACCTGTTCAAAGTTTTTCTTTCTACCGAGGTCATACCGCCATTTTCCACTTGTTTTCTTCTCATATGCCTACTCACAACTCAACACCAAGAAAATTTGATGAGAAAATAGAGACAAGAGAGTTGAAAAAACATCCTCTAGAAACAGAGTTACCTCTATAGTTGTGGTATTGCCAGCTACCAAAGAAATGTGCATGATTAAGAAACCCATCACACTCAAAGCAAACGCCAAGTTCAAAACTGTTGCTCATTGATGGTAACAAACAAGAAGAGATTGATAACATAGGTTAACACTAAACACACGAAATAATACTATATAAGCATATAAGGAAAGTCCCCACAACATACCAAATGAAAGAAAAGTAGTAGCAAGAGTTCCCGGTGTTCCAGGTATCTCTTCATCACTAAAGAAGGCTATGAAGTGTGGCATAAGAGCCAAAGTCACAAGTGTCGTCTCTAAAAACGTGTAGAACTGCATTCGAACACACACACACAAACAAAAGTTTTGACTAGGAGACAGATTCTATAAACAGTATGATTCCAGAAACAAAAATAAAACTTACCAGGAAAAGGAGGAAGTACTTATAATTCAATGCTCCTACACAGTTAACAACCCAAACGCAATGATGATCCATCTTCAACACACATCGCCCACCTATTAACACAGCCCACCTTCATGATTCAACTTCAAGACTCTCTCTCTATATATATATGGTCAAGAAGAGTGAGAAAACTTACAAACAGAACAATGATGACAACGTTCCGGTTTAGGTTGATTGCACTTTCTACAGAATCTAAATCTTGGGTTTGAGTTATCAAACTCCATACTATTCAACGGATCAGATTCACCACCTCTCTCTTCGTCACAAGCTGGCCTCCAATTAGGAGGCACAACACCAGGATCAGTTAACACAACTGAGAAGTAGCTCCAAAGCAGCATCCCCAGCTGCAAATCAAATAAAAATTAAAAAAAACACATTCTTTAGTCAAACCCACAAAACATTAATCAAAGAGAGAACAAGAAGACTACTCTTCGCATCTAAAGCAACAAGCTTTGTTGTCCGAATTGACTTAAAAGTAGGAAGCTTTACCAATCTTGACTTACGAGGAAATGGAAGAGGAGAAGGATGGTAAGAGCAGCAAGAGAATCAAACCCTCCTTGCGATAGAGCTGGTCCGTAGTTAGTTAAAACGACGGCGTAGTAGGTAACACCGACAACACCGAGAACTAATAAGATCATGACTGATCCGAGACCACGTAAGGCAGTACAGAACTTGAACACGTTCCAGGCCATTGCAGTACCAGATCTATGCATAGTCTAACAATCCAAAATGATCTCGATTTACAGAATCTAGAGAGAGAAAAATAAAACCTTTTTATTAGATAAATAATAGTCTCTCTCTCTCTCTCCTTCAGGGTCAAGTTTCTTGGTTTGAAGACGCGTGGTGAAGAAAGATAAAGCTATTGGAAGAGGTTTCTACTTTGTTTTAAGGAATAGAATGAGAGGGATGATTCGCAGATGCAGACCCCATGAAGGAAGAGAGATGGAGACTATGAATTGAATTGAAGATGATGGAGCCTGAAGATTGAGACTTTTTCTTCTTTTGTTTTTTGGATTTGTTTTCTGCTTTTGGAGCTAACTAGATTTGTGATAATTTAATGACTTTTTAGTCAATCAGCATCCAATAAAAATTTACAAATTGGAAAAGATAAAAATTAAAAAAAAGTAATCGCCCACCGTGGGGCTCGAACCCACGACCACAAGGTTAAGAGCCTTGCGCTCTACCAACTGAGCTAGACGGGCTTGGTGTTATCTAAAACTGTGACTTGTATTCGGATTTGGAAAACACTCAGGTTCACGGGTTCAACAAAGACGACAAAAAAGGACTCGGGAGCTTCTTAAGATCAGACTATGTCCTGCGACAAACAACTATGCTTCACCATGGTAGCTAATCAAGATCGTTGTGTTCATAAATGAGAAAACGAGAGAATTTGTTAACAAAACAAGGAAACAGTTTTAAACTTCAAACACAGTTGATGACGACCGATGGAGCCTAATGTTGAGATTCGAATAAGAAAATACGACAAGTAGCAAAGGTGTGTTCTCAACACTCATATGAGCGGAAGCCGCCTAGTCTTTCCTCAGATCCATGACTTCGGTCTTGATGCCATCGGCCTTGAGAATCATGATCTCAAGCTTGTCTCCCTATTACAAGGCAAAGCATTACTCAGACATAGGTGAGCCATTAATCACAAGAGGACACAACTGAGGAGAACTTACAGTGTAGATATCTCTCTCAGTGGCAGATGCGAAAACAGTCTTCACCAAGTCAACTGCTTCAGGTTCCGAAAGGGGCGTGATAGAATCCTACACAAGCAGAAGACCAAAAAATAAGCAACTACTATGATTCCACTATGTGATTAAACAGCTTAAAGGCCAAACACAACAAACAAACCTGGGCAGGAAGCAGAAGAGGGCTCGGACTCTTGAGCTGATTGTCAAGAAACGGCATAATCAGAGTCGATCCAGAACCTTGAGCACTGTATCCAACCTTCTCATAAGAACCAACAGCATCGTACGTGAAAACACAACCTTTACCATTCTCGTCAAGCCCTCCAAGAACATTAAACGCATAGTAAGGGAAGAAGCGCTTGAAGTAAAGCGTGTTGGAGAGAAGCTGAGCCATAGCAGGACAGCTCATCTGCTTGTTATGCTGATGCTGATAAACCTATTGCATAACACACCAAAACAAACAAAGACAACACCTTTTAAATACACGCAACCCAAGTGAAGAAACAGAAGTGATGAAAACAAATCTCTCACCAAGTGCCTTGAGGTAAGCACTTTCTGCAGTGCCTTCACATCAGCTTGAAAGCCAGAGGAAGAGAGCACAGCTTTGTCTGCTCTGAAAGAGATTAAATGGACATAAACAAAAAATGATGTTTTGCAAGAAACCCATAAAAAATCCATGACAAAATCATCAATCCAGATCTACGAATCACATCGATTGCAACCTTTCTAGTTTCTACAGAAACCCTAAATCCCTAATCTACGGATTCCGGAACTGGAGAATACTTACAGTTTATGGATTTTGGAGTAATCGCGACTGAGAATGCTGTAACCGGTAGACATCCGAGTATCGGCAGCGATAACGCAGTAATCCGATCCAGCGATGGCCACGCAAGTTCTGATAAAAAAACACAGGGATCAATACACAGGAGTAAATCGCGATTGAAAAACGCTCAATTGCAATTACAAACGCTCAATTAGACGAAGAAACTCAGCGTCTAGATTAAAGGGTGACACGATCAGTTACCCTCCATTGTTATCGTAAGGAGACCAGTTCGCGTGTTGCTTCGTCATGGAGCTTCTCGGTCTTTAGTAAAAGGAGGAACAGAGAGTGGAGGATTTGCAAAAGAGAGAAGAGATTGGAGAGAAAGAAGAGCTCTTCGTTCGTCTAAAGCACTCTCTGCCTTTGTAAACACGAAAGGAGACGATGGCTAAAGATGGGCCTGTAAAATATAAATATATGGGCCTTCTAACATGGCCAATTATACTTTAGATTTTAGAACTTGGGGTTCATGTTCTATAATTTAAAAGTTTTAAAGTTATGGTTTAGTTAATTTAAAGTTTAGGGTTTAGGTTTAGGTTTAATAATTGGGTTCTAAACCCATACAATAAAGTCTAATTAAATATATAGAAATCTGATTTTTATACACTACCAGGGTCGGTCCGCCCTACGGGCGGGATATGATTTACATATGATGTATAAGTCTATATTATCATGTTTTTTTGCATGTTTTATGTTAGGATTTGAAAAAATAAGGGAGAATTTCAATTATACCACTTTGGTGGTACCACTTTTCATGTTTACCATCAACAAATGAACATTTTCAAAAATACACATTTTAATAAAGGATAAAAGACTCTTATATCCTTGTTCTTTATATATATACATAAAATAAATATTAAATAAAATATTAATCCTAAACCCTAAAACATCAATTCTATACTCTCGACCCTAAAAAGTAAACCCTAAACCCTAAGCCCTAAAAATCAACCCTAAACCCTTAAATATCAATTCTAAACCTTAAACCCTAAAATCTAAACCCTATAAAGTAAACCCTAAACTCTAAAAAATCAACACTAAACCCTAAACTATCAATCCTAAACCCAAAACCCTAAACCCTAAATTCTAATAGTATTTTGACTATTAAAATTTTAATGGTAAAGTTTGTTAGTGTAAAGTTGAAAAGTGGTATCTTGAAAGTGTTATTTATCGATGTTAATATGTTTGGGAATGGAGAAAATATGTTTTAGCTCTTATTGGTAGTGTGTTCGATTTGATTTAGAACTAATATGTGTTAATGTTGTTTGCTTGACAAAATTATCTGTGCGAGGAAATGATTACCGGAGGTCAACCGCATGAAAAATTAGTTGTGGTGTGAAGGAGGTTGTATGCTTTCAAATTAATATATGTGTTAATTTTGTTTAATCCTTACAAAATAGTAGAAAAATAATAAATTTTAAATAACTAAATAGGGGTAAACGGAACATTTAACATTTTTTTAATTAGTGTGAAAAAAATAGAAAGACGTCTAATCTGAAAATGTTGAATATATATAATACTGGTTTATTTTTTTATGTGTGAGTATAGTTTCAATTAGAAAAAATGGTCGGCTAATATTATAATATAACAACTCCGTGAATTTTCATTTTGTGGTTGTTTAATTGTCTTGTTAAAATAATTTAGTTTATGGCTAACTGTTAATATATTTTAGAACTTGGGGTTCATGGTCTATTTAAGGAACATTTGTGCCTCTAAATCAAAATATTGTGTGTTTTGCAAAAGATCTACTCAGTAAGCTGTTTTATGTGTTCTTCAACACAATCCAGCTCTTCGTTCTGAGAATCCAAAGACCACAACTCTGCTTCTCCGTTATGCGTTTGTGCCTCCCTTCGACATAAACTCTCTTTGGAGCCACCGATAAAACCTCTCCTGTGAGATCCATTTCCGCACCTCCATCCATTGATTCAGTAGAGCCATTCCTATTGTCTAGGGATTTCCCGGTTTTAGAAAGGCAAGCTTTGTTCTTGAAGAAGTTTTATAGTCCTATATTGTTTCCAGTTTGATTTTATTTTTAATATAAAATAATTTAAGAAAACTGGTGTTATTTGGAGATATCCGACATGTCAATACTCGGCTAATGAAATGATTTTACTGTCTATTACCAATTTTATCTGGATTAATTATGACTACTAATAATATAATCAAGATTATTTATGTATTGTCCAAATTATACATAGGTCATTTTGGTTATGTTACTATATCAATATATTTGTTTAGATATATGTTTTATTACTATTTTCTTTCAATAGATATTTTCAGCTGACGACAGTTAGTAATTCAATTAACCGGATAATTCTTTGTAATTTCACCAAGGAGGTCAAAAAACATTAACAAAATATGTTTAATAATTTCTACAGATCATTTGAGAGTGGCTATTGATTGAATTATCCAGATTTCGTGTCATATGTGATGTTCATTTATCTCAATAAATCTTTTGATGTCTTGTCTGAGTTTTGATATTTATTTGAAATTTACTCTACAGGTGCATGACACAAAATCGGCTAAACTGACATCCCTGGGAGCTGTAGGTATTGTATTCTTGAGAAACTTAGGCCAACACAATGTCGTTTCGAAGGCAAAGTTGTCTCTGCAGAACCCTCCCATATCCAATTACCTAATTATGTAAAGGTTTTGTCCATTTAGTTAATTTAAAAATGTTTTATGGTTATTCAACTCAATGGCCCTTTAGGTTTTATGGTTTCTGATTTTTGGGTCTTAGATTTTATGGATTTTCATCTCTTTCCCTTTATATGTGCAAAACCGAAGAAACTAGAAAATAATAAATGAGAAACTGAATATTTTCGAATGATCGACTTATAAATATAGGAGAATTTTATTTTTACACTTTTTCTAGTACTATTATTCAAATTTACCTTCAATAGGAGGAAATTTTCATAAATACCTAAATCACTAATAGGTAAATGATTACAATAACCCAAGTTAACATAGATTCTAGGATGATCCGAGAATGGGTCTTCTCTGACGGCGGTGACTAGATCCATTCTCTCTCACGAAGGAGACGAGATACAATGGTGACAAGATCCATTCTCTCTCACGGCGAAGACGAGATATAATGGCGACAAGATCCATTCTCTCTCACGACGAAGACGAGTTCAGATCTTCTCTCATGTAGGCAACGGCGACAAGAGCAATCACACTTGTTTACGGAGAATTAATATTCAGAATCTCAAAAATATTGGCTCATCTACCCGATTCAAAATTTGTAAGTTTATAATTTGTGTATTTTTTTTTCTTTCTGTTATCAAAGAGGATTGATTTAGACTTGTTTACCTTAGATCGATCTAAGATAAAAAGTTTCAATAGTGAACATTGAGTTTTTGAAAATTTATAACCCTTTATAGATGTGGAATTTGTTTATTTTTTTATTTTGTTCTCTGTTATCAAAGAAGGTACCTTAGTTCGATCCAATAGAAAAAGTTTCCATAGTGAACATTGAGTTTTCAAAAATTTATAACCTATTAAAAATCTGGAATTTGTGTATTTTTATTTTGTTCTCTGTTATCAAAGAAGGTTGACTTGTCATTTCCTTAGATCGA